TTCTTTAAATATAGCTTAGAGATTTCTTTTCTCTGAAATTTGGTGCATCTTACAGTACAGTTCAAAAAGAATCTAGTGATTTAGTGATCATATAGTAGAGCTGAAAATAATTTATAACTGGAAATGAGAAGATATGGGTTCAGGTTTGTACCAGTCACAACATCTCAGTACCCCAGTTTGCTTATCTTCAGCACGGAGTTGAAGGTAGTTTCTACTTCACAGAATCGTCAAGTGTAATAAATAAGAGCGTATGTAAAATGTAATGAAGAAAATTGTGATATTAATAATGACTAAAATAATTTCTTACATTAGCTGAGTATGTAGTAAGTGTCGGGCACTGTGCTAAAAGCTTCACACTCTTGATATATCTCATGAGGTTGTTTGGCATTCATTCATTTATTCATTTATTCACTTGATATACATCCGTTGGACATCCTCCTGTCATATGTAGTGAATCCTACATTGTCACGCATCCTACATTGAAAGAGTTTATTACACTTATAGTGAACATTTCATAATCAATATAGATGTTGAATCGCCTTGTTGTACACCTGAACCTAATATAATATTATACACCAACTATACATCAATTTAAATAAAAAGAGAGCTTACCACTTAGTGGGGGATGCAAAGGGAAAAAGGTGTCAGGAAGAACAAAGAACCCTATTTGCGTGTGTGTGTGTGTATGTGTGTGTGTGTGTGTGTGTGTGTGTTTGGAGGTATGGGTGGTCCAATAAATTCTTACCAAGATGGTAATGTCTAAAAACACTCAATTCTAAAGTAGTGCTCTTCACACTATTGCTCAATCCACTGGTTTTAAAATCAGTTTGGTGGGTTGAGACCAGTATTTTGTTTTAAATTATCACTGATCCTACTCATTTGTGTCAGAAGACTCTGAGAATCCAGACACGTTGCTTGAGTGTCTGTGAGAGCCAAACAGCTCTCGGCACATTTGGCATCATGATGCGGCAAGTAAACTAGGGCCTGCTTGCATAACCTAAGGAGACTCCTGGGAGAACTCTTCTTTATCGAAGAAGAATCCAGACTTAAGGAACTTGACACAGTGATTGTGAATTCAGCGTGGCAGGTGCCACTTGAGTCTGTCTGGCCCTGCCGTGGATCTATGTCGGGGCCCTAGGGAGTGAGAGGATAGGCTGAAAATAAAAATGAAAAAGAATGAATTAATTAGGCTCCGAGGCAGGTTGTGACATAGGCAGCACTGCTTTAGGGCTCCACAAACAGCAACTCGCCCACAGACCAACATACAGGTCCAGTGAGGGCTGCCATGGGAGAGATGGAGGGAATGGGAAACCACCCATAGTGCCTGCGAGAAACTGCTAGATCCTGCAGAGAAGTGATGACTAGCAGGGCAGACTTATGTATAAGCCCATGTGAGACCCTCCAGCCTCCTCATCAGAAGGATGCAAGAGCCAAAGAAGTTGGAATTGGTGACGTTAAGGTGACCTCATTGCTGCGCACAGGCTACTGAGACCAGGAAAGAAGTGCTGGTTACATACAGCGGGGGAATAGGAAGGGAGGGAGAGCAGAAAGCAAGCGGGAAAACAAAATTGGATGAATGTGGCCATATGTGTGAGGAGGTGATCGTACTCTGACTCCAGAGCAATCCCTCCATCTACTGCCAACGGGCTCCAACACGAGTTTCTAGCTTTAGCAAAATTAAAGAATATGCTTAATGTCTGTAACATCTTGATGAGATCACCATGTTTATTCACCTAATGGTAATTCGCCTGAATTTACTAAATCTGAATGCATCCTATCCCGAGTCTACCTCACACGGCAGAGTGGGAGAAAGCAAATAAGGCATCGGTTTAGAGGCTTTGAGCACATCAATATGCAAACCACTTAAAAGCCTGTTTCCATTTATTCTCCATTTCTGGACCAATTTTACAGAGCAGATAACCTATAACTCAAAACAATTTCTCCATGACCCCATTTCATTCAGCATCAAGATTCTAATCAATATCCTATTTCCTTTAACATTCATAGGCATAAGCTCTAAAAATAACTTTATCAGATATATATTTGTGTCACTTGAAATTTTGAATTTATAAGGGCATGTATGCCCAGCCCAAGGAAATTACTGAAAATGCCTTAAATCTCGGGTAATGGCCAGAATCCAAAGCCCTAGAATATTTCTGTCCTTCCCAAAAAACCACCACTCTGTACCCATGCGTGTTTTGTCCAGATGATTTATAAGAAATTGCATACCCATCTCAATGCACAAAACAAGAAAGCACTTTCAAAGAAGAATGGAATAAAGGTAAAACATCCATCCATCTCATTCTCTGGGAAATTACCAACTCAAAATATTATTCTTCTGTTTTTGGTGTTCATTTCTTTCCTCCAAGGGACTCTTAGGCAAATGTATATTTATGTTTTAAGGGACTTATCCTGCCTGTCCAAAAAAGAAGAGGAAAGAAAGAAAAGGGGGAAGGGGATGTCCGAGAAACTGCAATAGGCAAAAATGAAGGATAGTAAATAAAGCAAATAAATAAATATAATAAATAATTAAACTGGGACATAATTTCCTCAAAAAAATAGATTAAAGTTTATTTTATTACAAGATTGATAGATGGCTATTACTTGAAAACGTTATATCGGTTTGAGCACAGACATCTCTCCTCTAGGATTTATCCTCGGAATATTCTCAGCCCTACCAGGCTTGGTAGCTCATGAGGAGTCTCCTTAGACATTTCAAAACTCAATGGAATTTATCACTCTTCCCAGACACAGAGGGTAATAAACAGCTTTCATTAAAGGTTTTTATATTTTATGACCTACTAGGTATTAGGAAAGCAGTATTTCTTCGCTCTGACATCAGCATAGGTCTTGGGGTCGGGGAAGCATAGAGTGTGGATGTGGCCGAGCTTTCATGCCATCAACAATGTTAAGGAACAGTTAACTCCTTATGCTCTTCTTCTCAAAGAATTATATATGCACTTTGATAGACTGTAAACAGAAGACTTTGGAAATTTAGAAACATATAAGATTCCATGCCTTGTAAAATCTACATGCAATCACCTACTTCAACCTATTACTCGCAGATCACTAGTCACGTCTTTGAGAACTCCAATCCAGCTTCAATTGCTTCAGCAACATCTTTAAAGTTCCAACTTAGAATATCGACATTGTGTATTCATGGATATTGTAGGGGGAAAATAATTAATTAGCCATTTGATGCATATTTATTAGTTGTCTATTTTGAACTACAATCTGTAAGTCAGAAAGATAGGAACTGGATTTACCTAGAAAGGGCTTAAATCTGATAAAATAAAATTCACATATATGAAAACACTAGTGGACAAATAATATTATGTATCATTATACTTCATGTAACTAAAAATACAATGTAATATTATATAATAAAGTGCTAATTTTTTGCTGCAGCAATAAACAGAAAAGTGGTTGGAACTTACCGGTATAAGCTATTATGGGTCAGTGTCTATATGTATCAGGGAGCAATGCCTACATACACACATATGTTATAAGTGTGTTTTCCAAACTTCTGTGATCATAAAAACCACCTGGAGAATTGATTCTTTTTAATGGGTTTTCTCCAGACCTATCAAAATGAGCTCTTAGAGGAGGAGCTTAAGAATCTGTATTTTTTAATAAATGACTCCATCGATTCAGAGCAAGCAGCTTTAGAAAACACTGCGGTCCTCACAACAATCCCATGAAACTATTATTATCCCTCTCTTCCAGTTGAGCAAACTAAGGTTATAGAGATTAATTAACTATTTAAAGGACTCCAAGTTAGGATAAAACCATCTGACTTCCAAAAACTGTGTTCTCTTTACTGCACTAAGCTTTCTTTGTTCTCTGAGAAAATGACCGGGTTGGTTGCAGAAACATGGAAATAAAATACTTATTATAGAAAAATTCATTTCTATTGCTGCTTAAAAACATTACCTTCTGTTTCAAAGTGCTGGAGAAAAGAATATTGGGCCCTTGAAACGAGAAAGTACATATTGATGTAGCCCTTCCATCTTACACAAAGGTAGCACGCGTAGTTCTGTACCTGGCTTTTCTCGCTCAACACTTCGACCAAGAGATGACATCACATCAGGATATAGAGACCCCCTTCCTTTCTTTTCAGAGCTGCCCAAGTAGCACATTATGCAGCTAGAACTCACGTTTATTCAATCAGTCTCTTGTTAATGGACACTTGGCTTATTTCCAGGCTTTTGCTATAATACATTACGCCTTAATGAGTAGGCCTGCGCATGTGCCATTTTGCACTTTTACTAGTGTGTATCTGTGGAAATTGAAATATTCTTAGAGGAGGGATAGCTGGGTCACAAGTCAAATACGTATTTAATTCTGATAGATACTGACTGTCAAACACCCCTAAAAAGGCTGTACCATTTTTAATTTCTAAAGACAGTATATGAGTGTGCTTTATTCCTCACAGCTTACATATATATATATATATAAAACCAAATATCTTTCTTTTTTCCCAGCTGAGAGGTGAGCAATGGTTCTCTAGTGCAGTTTTAATTACAGTTCTTCTCTTATGAGCAAGAGGTGAAGGGCAAGTATATATTTATATCTTGTTTTCTATGAACTATCTCTTCTTAAGTCTAGCTCCTTTTTTGTTTATTTATGGGGGGGTAGCCTAAATTTTTTTTATTATTTTTTAAAGATTTTATTTATTTATTCATAAGACAGGGAGAGAGAGGCAGAGACACAGGCAGAGGGAGAAGCAGGCTCCATGCAGGAAGCCTGACGTGGGACTCGATCCCAGGACCCCGGGGTCATGCCCTGAGCCAAAGGCAGATGCCTAACCACTGAGCCACCCAAGTGCCCCACCTGAAAATTGTTTAATGTAATTTAATTTACCAATTTTTCCCTATTGGTTATGCATTTTTAGTCATAATTTGGAACTTTCTTCCTACCTCCCAGGTTCATTATAGTTCTTATTTGTAGATGGAATCTTTAAAAGTCTGGAAGAGATTCTAATGCACACTAAAATACCAGTTTACAAATCCAAGTTTATAAAGGCTTATAAAGTGATGTCAAACATTGCAGTTATTTACATGAGAAACGTTTAATAATCTGTCACGTTCATGCTTTTCTTCGTTCTTCTAAATGATGTCAGTCTGAAGTCTTCTTGCCTGCATGATAAAATGTTCCATTAGTAAAACAGAAAAGATTATTTCTGGAGTAATGTATGGTCTTTCAGAATAAATATATTCAATTATTGAAAAACTTTACCTTTCTAGGAGAAGACAACATAAACCATTATGATACAGCCCACAATCCAGGCAATCAAGAGAAGAATTGGGACCAGAAGGTGTGATAATGCAGCTTAAAAATAAACAACAACAAAAAAAACACCCCAGATTAGGTAGGTCATTTTGGCATCATATTTTTTTGAATCAAGAGAAGAAAAGGAATCTGATAATACCAAGAGAAAAAAATACACTCTCACGTCATTCCCCGACATGATTATTATCTTCTGTTCTACAAAGGGTACTTGGGACTCAGCTGGCTATTTGAAATGGAAGACCTATGTTCAAACCATAGGTCTTCCTTTTAGTTATGTGACCTTGGGCAATTCTGAGCTTGGTCTTCCCTATTTGTAGAGCTAATGAAACTTGTGATATCGATCTTCTTGAGTTGTTGGTGAGGATCAAATGATATTGCGTGTGTGCGAGGGCTTTATAAACTAAACTAAACTGTGTGTGTGTGTGTGTGTGTTTAGCATATACAGAACACACTCCTACATTTGTTCAACAACACAGAGAGCGGCTGTTTACATAGAAACAATCGAAAATGACTCTTGAGGCAAGTGTTCCCGAACTAAATAATCATAACGTAGGGAAAGGTGTAGAAAAATGTTTTTACTCTTGATAGTTGATTTTAACCATCAGCATCATAGGAAGAGAAAAGCATTATACCTTATATGACCATTCTCAACTAGAGAAAAGAGATTCTATTTTGTTAACATGTTCAGTAGAACAACCAACACTGATCCAACACACACAAAAGACATTAGAACAACGGTTCCTCCTGCGTCTTCTATTTGTACCCGTATCTGAGAAAAGCAATTCATAAAATTATCATTTTTTAAATATTCATTGCACACACACACACATCATGCAAAAAGATTTTAAAAGTGCACAGAAAGACATCATATGGCATGAAGGTCTCTGTGTTAAGGGCTCAGATATATTCTTAATTGAAAAGCACAATTAGATTGTATGCCATCAGCTAACAAAGAGAACGCGTATTCTTAGCAATTGCATGCCTATTACAATTTCCATCACTTTAAAATGTGAAGTTTTTTTTAAGTGCTGTTAAAACAAAACCATCAGGAAAAGAGACACTGCTAAAATTAGGAGACACTCTTATAAAAGCAAACTTTGTGCAGGTAAAATGAATTTGAATGGTTTAAATCTATGTTTCCAAAAATGTTGGAATCTCTCTTAACTCTTGCAAGTTCAATGGGTTTTCTTTGCTTCTCCATCTCGCTGTGACCTTGCACAAAACTTTAACCACTAAATGGAAAAAAACCTTTCTCCTTACCTGCCATGTGGTATCGCTTTAAAGATAACATGAACATTATGAAATGCCCTTTACTCTCATTTGGATGAAAGACTTTTAATGAATTAAGGCACCATTATAGTGGAAGTACATAGCATTAATTTTTTTAACTATTCATATATACACAATTTAGTATTTTTCCCAATTTCAAAAAACCTAAAAATCAGTACCAATATTTTAATGGAGCGTTAATAAATATCTTATACAAGCATATTTTAATACAACTCTAAAATTAATATATAATAAAGCCCTAAAAGTATATACCTCATTATTTTTTACTCTTTATAAAACAATACAATTGATTGGGCATTTTTTTTTCTTTTTTTAAGAGAGAGAGAGAGACCAGGGAGGGGAGCAGAGGGAGAGGGAGAGAGACAATCCTAAGCAGAGCCCACACCCAGGGTGGAATAGGACTCAGGTCTCAACTAGGGGCTCCCCCTGAGGCTCAATCTCATGATTCTGAAATCATGATCCTGAGACCATGACCTGAGCTAAAATCAAGAGTCTGATGCTTAACCCACTGAGCCACCCAGGTGTCCCAATTGACTGTGTATTTTAACACTCAAAGTATACCTGCATCTGTGTTCTTTCAACACAAATATTTTAAGTTTTATCATAATCTGTAGCATCATTTTGAAATGGATATATATGGGGTGCCTGAGTGGCTCCGTTGGTTAAGCATCCAACTCTTGGTGTCCTCTCAGGTCATGATCTCAAGGTCGTGAGATTGAGTCCCACTTTGGGCTCTACCCCCAGTGTGGAGTCTGCTTGAGATTCCTTCCTCTCCTTCTCCTGGCCTCTCTGCACTCCCCCCTTGCTTGCTCTCTCTCTTTCTCTCAAATAAATAAAATAAAATAAAATAAAACATTTATCTTAACATATCAAATAAATAAAATAAAATATTTTTATTTTAAATAAAAAATCTTTTAAAAAAACAGAAACAAGAATATATAAGAACACAACACATTTTGTATAGGGCACTTATATTATAGTGCAAACAAGCACAAAACTCCTTTTAAAATATGAAGAATGAATTCAAAATGCTTCTCTCTTTCCAATCCTGAGCATGCCCAAATGGTTATACCTAGAAGTATCCCTAAGGGCACTGTGCTCTGAAACAGGAGTGTCTGTGTTCAGAACATGGCACCACCACTTTCTGGTATGTGATCACAGGCAAGTGACTATACTTGGCTATGCCTCAGTTTCCTTATCTGTGAAACGGAAATGATGACAATAAAACTGTATGTCTCATGGGATTATTGTCCATTATAATACACATTTAAAAACCAGGAAAAAAAAGAAATTCAGACATGAAGCATATTAGAGATGACTAAACCCATTTTATTTATTTTCATTTTAGAGTCAGAAAACAGGTCCAGAGGGGTAGAGGGACTTCCCCCGACTCACACGGCTGTTTAGTGGCAGACCTGACAAAGAAATCAAATGTCCTTCATTCTGGTCCAGCACACCACAATACCTCCAACCTGGTACGACACTGGAGAATAACTGGCTTCTAACTCATCTTTTGAAAAAAGCATGATGAACAAATTAAGCACCTTTGTTTGATCCTTGTAAAAGTATACATAGCATACAGACATGGACCATAAATTGTACATCAAATGCATTTTTTGTAGCCATGCTAACATATATGGTTTATGCCCCTTTAGCAGTGATACCACATTCTTCAGAATAACTGAGAAATACTAAATTCTGGGGAACATAAAATACACCAGGGAGCTTGGACTTTTTTTTTTTTTTTTTTTTTTTTTTTTTTGCCAAGAGGGTCTGATGCCTTAACTCTTACCTTTTTCAGCCATTCTTCTTGTTGCTGGGTGGGTTGGTCAGAGCCACGCTCACCTCTTTGTTGTTGTCATCCAGTGTCTCTTTGAACTTTAAATAGAGAGATATCTGAAGAGTGTGGCAGCTGCCCCTCTCCTGACTGCCAATTGTCTGCAGAGTGATGTAAGGCGTTGGAGAACAGAACTCCTCTGGCTCTTCTTTAGCCTGCTATTATGGAAGATAAAGCTAAACAATTGAAAAAGCTGAGCTATCCTAAAGCTGAGATGGGCAGATTTTGAATTTACCCTATGCCTTCAGACAACATGGAGAAAATGTTTAAGGTAGGAAAAATGGCATTGTAATGAGACAAGTTCTATCCAAGAGGAGGGTGATCTATTGGGGGAAAAAACATTTTGGAGTTGGAGACTGGCTTCAAATTCCAACTCTGCTATTTCTGTAATGAAGGCCAAGTTGCTTAACCTGGGCATCAGCCTCTTTAACTTTAAAATGAGGATAATGATCTCTATCCCCAGTAGAGGTGTCATAAAGATGAAATAAAAAGGCTGTGTGAAATACAGATGTTTATTACATTACAGGATGCAAAAGATAAAATAAATTAAGTGGTGCCCCTTGCTCTGAACCATTCTAAAAACAGAACATTTTAACACAGATGTACTAGAAACTAAAACAACAAAAGGCTGGGATATTGCCTAGAATTTTCAGAGAGCAGTCATAAGTTTGTTTTTATTAGCAATGTATAAAAATAGGACATTCCATTTTTCAAAGTCCAACCTGGTTTATATAACATGACCTAGACTGTGCTCTAGGTTCTCACTAGAATAACTTTAATTTTGGGGTCTGAATGGAAAAGTTTTTGCAAAATGACCCTGTGACCAACTTCCCCAAAAGTCCATCACAACATTAAAGGTGTCCTCCTCCAAAAGACAAGACTTGCCTGATCAAATCCATCTCCACAGACCTCCAGGAGGGATGTTTCCCTGCAAATGTCCACATCTCATCACTGACTAGAATCCGCTAATGGTTCTCCATTTCCTAGAAAATAAATATCTGAACTCCTCATTAAGAAACCTAAAACGCCTCATCTTTCTACTTTCCCGTTTGCAGTGATGCCTCAGCCACACTGAATCCCTTGTGGCATATGAATTAGGATGCTACTACCCACGTGCACAAGGAGAGCATGTGATTTTCTACCTCAAGTCATATACCTACAGATTAAATTGTGCAGTCAACCCTCTGCTAAGTTTACTGCATGATCATACAATATGTTTATGTTATGTCATTTAAACCAAGTTGCCATCTCTCTATATATATGCAATTTAATATTTTTTAAAAATGCCTGGCAGTTCCAGATAAGAAGAGAGACTATGTTCTATCTGTGTAACAAAATTACTGCTAAAGTCCAGTATTTTTTTCAATACTAAATAATTATACATTATAAAAAAGTTTAACTGAGGCAAGATAAACAGAGACAGAGTGGGGAGAAAATGATGACTGATTGATCTCACTTAAATACTGATTTTTTTAAACTAAATAGATACAAATTAATACCCTATCTTAAGAAACACAAACAAAAAAGATATTAAAAAGAAGCAGTGAAAAAAAAAGAAGCAGTGAGGTACCCTCTAAAGAACAAACTAGTGTAAAACAATTGCCTTAAAGTGGGTGAAAATAGAATGTATAAAACATCTCTATATTACAATTATATTAAGCTTTATTTTTTGATATAAAATTGACTATTATTAAAATCATTGTTATCAATTTGAATTTTGAGGAGGAATTACTTTACAAATTATTTATTTTTCTTTGTTTTCTACAGAAAGTAAGAGAGGAAAGAAAGGAGAAAAATTAATTAATTGAATATGAATTCCTAGATATTAGAAAAGTGTTCAATCTAAAATGTCATCTCTTTGGTATCTCTTCAGTAAATTAAATATATATGTGTATGTATGTATATATATGTATATATGTGTATATATATATATGATATTTATTCAGGAAAAATGCTTTATTCATTAACAGACGAATCCACTTTGAACTCACAAATGCAAGGGTTTATATTTCAGCATTGTTAATTTTCCTTTTAGGGCATATCATTTAGGAACATTTTATACTTCTATTTTGCATACTTACTCCGAGAGTTAGTTCTCAAATCCCTTATTATCAAAGCAATGTTAGAATTTTTTAGGGTACTTAAACTAAAAAAGTCAAATATTTGGCTCTTTTTTCAAGATAAACCAGCATTCTTCATTTTTCTTTTTTTTTTTAACTATTAGTGTCTGGAATTATAGTAGATAAACCTGCACACAATAGATTAAATGGACAAATTCCTCTTAAGATATAAACTTACCCAAACTGACTCAAAAAGAAATAGAAAATTTGAATATGCTTATAACAAGTAAAGCAGTTGAAGTCATAATCAAAAATGTTTCACAAAGGAAAGCTTTGGAGCAGGTAGCTTCACTGGTGAATTCTACTGAACATTTTGAGTTAACACCAATACTCCAAAAACTCTTCCCACAAAGAGAAGAGGAGGGAAGACTTCCCAACTCATTCTATGAGCCCAGTATTACCTCAAAACCAAAACCGAAGATACAATAAGAAAGAAACTATAGACCAATCTCTTTAATAAATATAGGTGCAAAAAGTCTCAACAATAAACTAACAAACCAAATCCAGCAATATACACCAAAAATTACATACCACGACCAAGTTGATTTAACCCAGGAATGAAATGTCAGCACACTGTTCAAATACCAACCAATGTAACACACCATATTAATAAAATTTTTAAAAACCAAACACCCCATGATCGCCTCAGTGGATGCAGAAAAAGCATGTGACAAAATCCAACACTGATTCAAGACAAAACACTCAACAAATTGGGAATAAAAGGGTAGTCCCTCAATTTCATAAAGCTTATCTCCAAAAAAAACTCACAGCTAGCATCATACTCAATGGCAAAAGAGTGAATGATTCCCCCACAACATCATGAAAAAAATAGAACGTTTACTCTTAGACTTTGATTCAGTATTATACTGGAGGTTGTAGTCAGGAGAATGGAAAGAAGATAACATAAAAGTCATCCGTATTAGGAAAGAAGAATTAAGCTATCTTTATTTGCAATATGACATGATCTTATATATATAAAAAAATCCTAAGGAACCCCCTCCACATGCAAAAACAAAACAAAACAACACAACACAAAAAAACCCTGCTAGAACAAATAATCAAATTTAGCCAGGTTGCAAGATACGTGATTAACATGGAAAAATCAGTTGTATTTCTACACAGGAGCAATGAACAGTTTGAAAAATAAATTAAGAAAAAATGACATTTACAACAGCATTAAAAGAATAAAATACTTAGGAATAGATTTAATCAAAGATGTACAAGCCTTGTAACTTGACTAACAAAGACTAACAAAATATTGCTGAAGGAAATTAAAGAAGATCTGGATAAATGGAAAGACATTCTGTGTTCACAAAGTGAAACAATATTGTTAAAGATGGCAATACTACTCAAAACAGGTTCAGAGTATTCCTATGAAAATAACAGTGGCATTTTTTGCAGAAATGGAAAATCTAATCTTAAAATTCATATGGCATTGCAAGGGATCCTGAATAATCAAAACAATATCAAAGAGGAAATACAAGGGACTTATACTTACTGGTTTCAAAACATACAACAGAGCTACAGTAATCAAGAATATACGGTACAGGCATACAGACAAACATACAGATGAATGGACTAGAATTGAGCGTCCAGAAATAAATCCACACACTAATGGTCAATTGATTTTCAATAGGAGTGCCAAAGAAGAGTCTTTTCAACAAATGGTTCTGGGACAACTAGCTTTCCACCTGCAAAAGAATGAAAGTGAACCCCTACCTCATACCGTATATGAAATTAAGTCAAAATGAATCAAAGGCTAAATGTAAGAGCTAAAACTATAAATCAGAAGAAATCATAGAGGTAAACCAGGCGACTTTCACCGATATAACACATAAAGTACAAGCATTCAAAAATATAGATGATGTGTCCTTCTTCAAAATTTAAAACTTTTTCACATCAAAGAATACCATCAAGAAAGGGAAAAGATAATCTGTGGAATGGAAAGATATTTGCAAATCATATATCTGAAAATGGTTTGTTATCCAGAATATATTTTTTTTAAAAAAAAACCTTTACAAATCAACAATAAAAAGACAACTCAATTTTTTAAAAATGGGCAATGGCTTTCAATAAATTTTTAACCAAAGGAAATAAACAAATAGCCAATAAGCACATGAAAATATACTCAAATCATTAATTGTTAGGGAAATGCAAATCAAAACCACAATGACAGGAACGCCTGGGTGACTCAGCAGTTGAGCATCTGCCTTCGGCTCAGGTGGTGATCCGGGGTCCTGGGATCAAGTCCCCCATTGGGCTCTCTGCAGGGAGCCTACTTCTCCCTCTGCCTGTATCTCTGCCTCTGTGTGTGTGTCTCTCATGAATAAATAAGATCTTTAAAAAAAAAAAAAACACTTCACCCTGACTAAGATGACTAAAATAAAAAAGCTAGACAATAACAAGTGTTGACAAAGATGTGGAGAAATTAGAATCCTTGTACAGTGTTGGGGGAAATGTAAAATGGTTTGGCCGCTTTGAAAAATAGCTTTGTGGGATCTCTGGGTGGCACAGCGGTTTGGCGCCTGCCTTTGGCCCAGGGCGTGATCCTGGGGACCCGGGATCGAATCCCACGTCGGGCTCCCGGTGCATGGAGCCTGCTTCTCCCTCTGCCTATGTCTCTGCCTCTCTCTCTCTCTCTCTCTGTGTGTGACTATCATAAATAAATAAAAATTAAAAAAAAAAGAAAAGAAAAATAGCTTTGTAATTCCTCAAAATGTTAAATACAGAACTCCCTTATGATCTAGCAATTCTATTCCTTGGTGTATGTTGAAGAGAATTGAAAACAGGTTTTAAAACAATGCTGTTCACAGCAGCATTAGTAATTCATAAGAGTCAAAAAGTAGAAACAAACCAAATGCCCATAAACTGATAAACAGACAACTAAATGTGGTACAGCCACACAGTGTAATATTATTCAACCATTTAAAAAAATGTTTTGGTACATCCTACAATATGGTTGAACCTTGAAAAT